AAATTAAATAACATTTAGCTTGTATATAAAAACACAAATTTGTGCATGTCTGTGGAGCAGCATGTGATGTTTCAATGCATGAGTTTATTGTTGCTATGGTCTAGATGTAGAGTCTCCCCATAAGGGTCATGTGTTAAAGATTTATTTGCCAACCGATGGGCTTTCCAGAAGTAACTGTATCATGTCATGAGGGTGAAACTTTAAAATGGATCAGTTCCTTGATAAATTCATTGCTAAATATAGTATCAAGAGATGAGACCAGTGGGAGGAAGAAGGTAACTGGAGGTGAAGGCTGTAGGAGAATAAACACCTTGTTCCCAGACTCTTCCTGTCAGTCCCTCTGTCTCCTATCTACCATGGGGTGAGGCGCTGTGCTCCACCACCCATTTCCCTCCATCATGCTCTGCTTTACCATGCATGGGTCCCAAAACCACAGAATCAAGTTACCATGCATAGAAACTTCTGAAACTGCAAGTCCAAATAAGTCCTTCCTTCCTTTAGAATACTCCTCTGGGCAGTCATCACAGCAATGAAAGACTAGCTAGCACAGAAAATTGGTACCTTGGTACCAAGAGTGAGATCCTTGCTGTGACTACATGTGGTTCTGAAGCCTTTGAAGTTGGCTGGAAGAATTTGAAAATGTTGGAGATGTGGGCTAGAGGAGTCTCTAGAATTCTGTGAAAAGAGAAAAATGTGTGATTCTGGTGGGAGCTCAGAAGACCGTAGGATGCTGATGGGTATGCGGATGGTAAAGACTGGGCTCATGAAGTTTCAAGTGAGAACACGGACTCCAGGGAGAATGGGACCAGAAGTCATTTGTGTTACAGTCTAGCAATCACCTGATCTATACTTTGTCCGTGTCCTGAGACTTTTTTGGAAGTTAGATTTAAAGTTGATGAGCAAATTCAAGTACGTAGAAAATTTCAAGGCAGCTTCACAGTCAGGTGGTAGCAAAGGTTTTGCTGGATGCTTTCAGTCAGAATTACAGTGAGAATTAGGAATACAAGGCAGAGAGAATGGAAACGTGCAGTTCGATCCATTTGACCAGAAAAGAAGTATGTTACAAGTTATGATCAAAGAGGGGAGGGTGTTGTGTTAAAGAAATTAGCATTATTAAAAAGAAATGAGGGGCTGGAGAGATGACTCAGCAGTTAAGAGCACTGACTGCTCTTGCAGAAGACCCGGGTTTGATTCCCAGCACCGACATGGTGGCTATGAACTGTCCTTAACTCTAGTTCCAAGGGAATCTGAAGCCTTCTTCTGACCTCTGAGGCATTGCACAACATGGGTGCACTCACATACATGCAGGCAATACACTCAGACATATAATAAATAAATAAAATATTTTTTAAAACAATGAAACTGGGTCTGGTAGCAACAGGCTCATAATCCTAGCTACTCTGGGCCTGAACTGGGAAGATCCCAAGTTCAAAGTCTGCTTAGGCCATAGTGTGGGTTCAAAGCCCGTCTGGGCAAACTATAAAGATCCTGTCTCAAAATACAAAAGGAAAGAGGGTTTGGGATGTAGTTCAGTAGTAAAGTGCTTGTCTAGCAGAGACCCTGTGCTCCATCACCAATGCTGCTACAAAAAGTAAAGTACTTTACATAATGGAATATGGGAATCAAACAAGGGAAATGCCTTGAGGTACCTCAGGAATTGGCTAGACAACACCCCCCACCCCAGGCTCCAGGTATAAAAGTATAAACTCATTTGAAAGACTTTTGCTTGAGAAAAGAATGCCATCAGGCACCCCCTTCACACAGGTAACCCAGACAGTTGTTTGTCCAGGATTCATTCCGCTGTGGTCAGCAGCCCAGGCTACCTGTAGTTCAAGAGAGGCTGACTACTGCTATTACTGGCAAAAGAACTTGGCATCATCTGTGTTACTGGGTTTTCAGATACAAAGAATGTAAGAGTTACAGGGTTATAAAATCTTCCAACAAGATTTAAAGGAAAGCCTGAGAGACCAGACCATGCGCAGCAGAATTGGATCTCCTGCAGGTGCTCCTGATGGGGCAACAGGGACTCACAGCTAAGAGTTTGCCTTGAATCTCAAAGGAGACTTTGACTTGGATTTTTAAGAAATGCTGGAATTATTGATTCTTTAGTGACTCTGGCATTATGGGACAAATCATTTTGTATCATCAGAAGTACATGAGCCCACTAGGGCCAAGGGTGGGATGCTGTGGTCTGGATATAAGGTATTCCCCACAAAAGGCTCCTGTATTGAAGGTTTGGCTGTCAACTCATGAACTTTTGAGAGATGATTGGTTCATGAAAGCATTATCTTAATCTGCTGATGGAGTAATAGCTCAACAGGCTGTTAGGAGGTGGGGCTTGGTTGGAGGAAACTAGGACTCTGGGGGTCTGCCTGTCCTCAGCCCCTTCTTTGTGGCTTCTGTCACCTGTCTGCCATGAGGTAAGGCACTTTGCTCTACCACGTGGTCCCCACCAAGATGTCCTGCCTTTCCACGCATGAGCTCAAGAAGCAATGGGCTGAGGGCCAACAGGCTGCATCTTCTGAACGCATGAGCCAGCATAAATATTTCCTCCTTTATCAGTTATTTGTCTTGGGTATTTGTCATCACAGATCCAAAACCCTAATGCTGTTGTGTAACGTTTATGTCAGGGTAAATACCTGTTTCTTCCAAGATATTTTTTCTTTTTGAAATATATAGTCATCCTGCTGTTCAGTAGCATGTCAGAGCAGTTCATTCCCGTCTAACTATGGCTTAGCACCCATTGATCAGCCTCCGATCCCACCCTCCCTCTACTCAAAGTTTTTACACAATGACGTGAGTGTGAGTCTTTGTTGTGCTTCCCTGCCATGGTCCCCTGAGTTGTTGGTACCACTTCTCCACGTGACCAGTCATGACACGCTCAGGCTTACACAGAGCACCGTGGATTTCTCAGAGCCTAGACAGAGCCAGAATCCTCTATCCTGCAGCACTTTACCTCTTCCTCCTGCTTCTTGCAGGGATCCCTGCCTTTCTCTGACCGTTAATTCCACCAGAGCCTGTTTTCTACTGTCTAGTCTCTTCTTGTAGTCACTGTTCTGTCCCTTGTGCTTAGCCTGGAGCACAGTGCACAGTAGGTGTTTGCGTTTGTGAATGTTGAATGAATGAATGAATGCGTCCTGCTCCACCGGCTTCCCTGAGCTACTCCATAAGCCCTCTCCCTCTGTTGTATCTACTCTATGCCCTCCACTTGATACCAGGTGCCACACTGGCGTCATTTTCTGATTCCCTTGCACTGAACTAGAATATAATGGGAGCCTCCCTGAGAATGTGGGCCAGGTTCTCGAGGATATCTGCCTCTTCCAAGGTAGACAGACGGTGATTTTATTTGTCTTCTAGCTCCGGGTGGCTAGGGGAAAATGGACCGTTTGTCTATTCATTCGTCCATTGATCACTAACTCACCCTCAGGCAACCTTCCCTGTGTGCCAATAGTGCACCAGTCCCTTGCCTGGACCAGATGTTAGAGACAGAAAGAATCTATTGGTGGGTCCCTCCTGACCACTGACCCATCAGCACATACCCTTACTCCCTTTAACTTGCTTACTCATCACCTTTTTAGGGCTTTGATTTCTTACTAATTTACTAGTCAATTAGTTGAAGCAGAACTATGTCTCCTGACAGACTTAAGAACAGCTAATGATGGATGCGAAGTCATTTGTGTTGTTTTACAGGGACTCGTTGGAATTGCTAGCAAGGCTTGGAGTCCAGTAAGTAAGCTAATGAAATGAAAAAGTAAGGATGTGAATGTTTAGTGATCTTGCTCTAGGAAATGGATGTAAATAGAATGAAGAAGGTGGCTATGGGTATGAAATTCACCTTGTCGTATGCTCTAAAGCACCTCTGTGCTCTGTGCCAATGGACAGATGGATAATGAGCGTAACTTCTAGGTCAGAGAACCTCACAGCCCATGGGGACCCAGAAGACAGACCAACAAGTCCTTGAGGGTGAATCTTGAGGAAGAGAGTCCACCTGCCTCACTTTCCAGAAGCATATGCCACCTGAAGGGCTTACCTTGGAGCCAGAAGCCTGGACCACCTCTGTATTGTGTCCCGGTTCAGTGCAGTGATGACTGTGTCCATCTGCCCCTGGTCTGGAAGGATGAAGAAGACAGTCCCATTTCCCACATAATTCATCTGTACCAGCTGGCAAGGGATCACTGAGTCACGAAGGTAATGGATGGTGCTTGATTGGAACATCATGGGCAACTTGACTGTGCTTGTCTCATTCACATAGAAGTCCCCTTCTCTGGTGTTTTCTGGGTCAAAGGGATGTTCCCATGTTCCTGGAGGGGAGGGAGGGAGGGAGGGAGGGAGAGAGAGAGAGATCAAACCCGTAGGCCAGAAAGGAAAATTAAGTCTAGACAGCGTCATCAGCATCAACAGAGTACCAGGAATTCTGGAAGTGGCACAGGACCTCAAACCTTGAACTCAAGATCGCTGGTGGAAATAGGGAAGAACTGCCTTGTGGGAATGAACCAGCCATTCTATCTCAGTCCTGACAGACTGGCTAGTCCCTGGAGGAAGCTCTGACCTCTGCCACCTGGAATGAGGGGATTCTAGACCACGTTTCCTGGGTGCAGTCTGAATACGTGATTCCTTTAGGGTCACAGACACCCCTTTGCCCCCAGGCTAATCCAACCTGTTTGTATATGGCATTCTGTTATACTAGTCAAGTCTGATGGGAGGAACGTTGCTCCTCAGACTGAGCCAAAGCTTGCCTGATGACAAGGCCTCTCTCTCAGCCTCTTCTGCCATGTAGGAGCTGGTCTCAAGTAGTGTGACCAGTTTGGGACTTTCAACTCCACAGCTGTCAGATAAATGCAGCCACTCGTCTTCAGTCATTTGTTATTGGAGGTATTGGTGGTATTAGCGGGCTCACACAGGTTTCTATGGAGGCAAGAGGCAAGCATGCTCGAGGATGGGAGAGGAATTTGGTATGGTTGGACTGGTGTGTGTGTGTGTGTGTGTGTGTGTGTGTGTGTGTGTGTTAAGAGCTTGGAGGATTAAAGTGCTGAGACATGAGGCTGGGAATGGTAGAAGAAGCAGGAGACCAGGGCTTTCAACCTGGGTGTTATGGAGGGACTTGATGACAGCATGGGAGACAGTCAGTGCACTGTGAGTAGCGTGTCCTCCAGCCATCCTGGCCTCTACTTAATGGACAGCAATAGCGTATCCTACCCCACCTGTAGTTGTGACAGTGAAAAATGCCTCCAAATGTTGTCTGTTGTCCCCAGGAGGGTGAAAACATCACCCTTATCTGAGAGCCCTGTTCTAGAAAAATTTTGAGATTTTGTTCTCAGGGATGAGGTGCCGCCAAATCAGCTGATCATAAAACATAAAGTCAGTGTGTAGAGGGGAATGGTTATGAAAACTGTGTATTCTGGGCTTTCTTGTGGAGGTTTTATTTCAGTAGGTCTGGCATGACTTCTGAAATCTGTACTTTTAACAAATCTCCCTGGAAATGTTCCTGAATAGCACTTTGGAAACCCAGTGGAGACTAGCTTTCACTAGAGGGAGGACTTGGTCAGAGCTGGCTGTGAGCTCTGGGCAAATGTGTGCAGGATGACTTTGGGGGTTCTGGTGAGATCAGGGTGGGATGGGACCTTGTTGGCATGGGAGGAGTACCTTTGAGGGTCATGTAGTTGACTAGGATGAGGGTGGCTGGATTTTCCAGGTTTGAGAACACATCTTCAATTTTCCCCGGCATCTTATTCTGCACATAGTCGATGATCTGTCTTCTGGCTTGGTTCCAGTCCTGAAAATTGGCAGCCAAGGTCTCTGCCTCATAGTAGTGTTTGATGTCTGCTGAGAATGAGTCCAGTAGCTTCAGGCAATGGTCAAGAAACATGGCATTACCCATGTTCATCTCCAAGCTGGTATCTGACTGCTCGAAGAGGTGATGGAGGTGCCGGAAGCCTGAGTGGATCTCTGCTGCAGATGTTGTTGTGAGGTTGAAGCCCAGGCCCTGGAGAAGCTGGGTCTGCGTATGGCCCCTGGCACCTAGGGACAGCATGGCCAAAGCCATGGAAATGCTCACTGGGGAGATGAAGATGTTCTTATCAGGAGCCAAAGCCATGAGGTGCTGATACAGGTTGAAGGCAAAGTCCACATTAGTTGGAGCCAGGCCTCGGTGAGGACTCCATGAATTCATAGGAGCATTGGGGTCCTGTGCCTGGACAGCCCAGAGGCTGCTGGTGGAAAGCCAGAGGACACAGGTGTACAGGGCAGGTAGCATTGTCCAGGATGGTCAGGCCCTGCAAATCAAGAGTGCTTGTTAGATGATCTGGCGGTTTCAGAGTTGGGGGTGGGTGTCATGCCACAGGCGGCAGGTGAAAGCCCCCCCCCATTCCATTCCTTCACCTTGGCTGTCCACCAAGGAAAGTTACATCAGAGCTCTGGGCTTCAGTCTCCTCATTTGAAGATATTTACTTACTGTGATTGCTCTAAGTGTGGTTAAGTGCCTAATACTTGTCTAGGTATTTTGCTGATAGTCTTTTATGTAAATGCCATCAAAACACAAAGTAAATATTATTAAACTGACTTTAGGTGGCCAGAAGCTCAGAAAGGCTAAATATCCTCTTAACTGATACATTCAACATGTAAGAAAAGCAAAACAACCAAAAATTGCCAACTAAGGATCCCATGTCTGGCTAAACGCTCCTTAAAAAGTGAACAGAAATGAAGACATTCCTTGAACAAGACCAAAGAGCTCACCCCCATGGGACTACCCTGCAAGAATGGATTTCATTCTGATTTCAGATCAGATGGAAAAGACACTGGGCATTAACTAGAAGCTGATGAAGAAATAAAAATACCTGACAAAGGACAGTGCATGAGCAATTTCCAAGGCTAGGATAATTGAAAATTACCCTGTAATTCCACATTTTATATTCTCTGTAATTTAAAGGCATCTTGAGCGTTGACCCCAGTTGTGGGTTTCTGTGTTAATCACATCCTACTGGGAAAAGTGGCTTCTCTGATGAAGGCTGAGAGATGTACTAATCTGTGGTATGCAGATGAGAACTTAGGGGGTAGTTTATTACTATGTCTGTTTAGTCAAATAATACTAGCATGTTCTCCATTGATGGCTTCTGGAGAGAGACAATTTCCTTCAGGGATGTGGCCCTTAAGAGGCTTCCCATGCTCCAGTAGATGACCCTACAACCATGCATATACCGGGAGTGCTGAGTGGACTCGGTGGATTATATGAAGATTTTAGGGAAAAGGGGGGGTTAAGAGAGTGGATTTGATCAAAATACATTATACCCATGTATGAAATTCTTGAACAATAACAAAAAGAGTCATGGATCGAAATTATAAGTCAATGTTTTGGGGGCATTCAACCCAGAAAGACATTGGCTGTGATATTATCACCAAAGGGAGGTGAGACTCCGCTAGGCAGAAGTAGAGTTCCCAGTGGCACCCCAGTGCCCACTTGAGGTTAGCCTTCATTGATGTGCATTAGATGTCCTCATGAGCCAGTCCCTCAGCCCTGCATCAAACTACCTGAGGTCCCAGCCACAGTGCTACTGGGTGCCACAAGTTCCTCCTGCCTCACACTAACTAGACTGCTACCCTGCTGCAAGTTGGGTCAGAGGGCAGGGCAGGGCAAGGCAGGACAGGGCAGGGACGGCAGGTCAGGTCACTACAGTCCCCCAGTGTTTGTTGAGCTCTGCTCTGGACTGAGACCCGGAGATAAAGATGGGCCTTCCCTTGCCCTGCCTCATATGGCTCTACCCTGTAGGCCTGTCCCCTCGTACCTTGCCTGGCTCATTCCCTCTTGATCTTTGAGACTCAGGTGCTTGGTCACGGCCTCCAGGATGCCCTTCCTCTGTCCTCCTCTCTGATGATGACCTCATGTCACACACAGGGACATCTTGGTTTCTGTACTGGGCCGTACCTGTCTATGAGTTCTTTGGAGCAAGGACCCCAGGCAGCAGGAGATTAAGAACAGGCTGGGCCTCCCTCCTCTTCCTACTTCCTGCCTTCCTTCCTGCCTCAGTAGTTCAAGAGGGGGACTGAAACCTTCCTGCTTCACCAGACTGCTGTGAACACCTCTCATGGCTATCATCAGTGCCTGACTTAGGTGTCTTTGCTTCCTGGGACCCAATGCAGAGATGGAGAAACAGACCTGGATGAAGCAGAGCATCCCCTGCAGGGCTGGGTGGGCACCTTCAGAGCCCTTTGCCTGCCACTGTTGAAAGCCACATGCTAAGCAAGGCGTCTCTTAAGTGCCAGCCTTCTGAAAAGGTTGAGGGTCAGTAGGACCCATGCCTCTCTTTTTAGGAATGTCTTCCTTGTCGTTCATCTCTGAAGTGACTGTGGGATGAATACCCAGGACATTCTCACCAGTGTGTTAGGTGAAGCTCCAGGCATAAGTTGTGTTATGATGCAGATAGTTAGCGCAGGTCCTTTCCCTTCTATCTGCACTGTCCATTCCTGTCCTAGGCGAGGACCTGTGGCAGAGGGGTGTGTGGGACTCTGTGCGGTGCCCTTGAATACACCGACTGTGCACTCCCTACCCGACCCCAGCTGGCATCCTCCTCCAGGGTGCTGCTTGGCACTGATCCATCTCAGCTCTGAGATTCCCATTCTCGACTGCCGATGCTGCTCCACTTCCACCAGCAGCAGGGAGGAATGAAGCTCGGCTATTGCCCTCCATGACAGCCCCTTGCAAGGCAGGAGCCCCATCAGCGGGTGACCTCTGATTCTGGGACCTGGGAAGTCCTCTACAAGATTCAAGTCACAGCACACCACCCCCATATACACTTACCAATTTACACAAAAACGCTGCAGGCGTTGCTGCGTTCTGGAGTGCAGCAGGCGGAGGCGGTGGGGTGTGGGCACAGGCAGGGGCAGGAAGCACAGAGTGCTCTCTGGGATGACTCACGGTCTGCAGTGGGCTCACGCTGTTCCCACTCGCTCTGTTCTGCTGCCTGGGATCCTAGCGCAAGTACAGTAAGGCGTCGGGGAGACTGTCCACTAAATCTTATTTGCCAGCTTTTCTGCTGGTTAATGGTTAGAGGGAGGGGGACAGTGGCCTTTACCATTTGGTGGTCCCCGCCCCCCAACCATCAACCAATGGGAGGCATTTTTAGGAAATGCAAATAAACACAGTGACACTGTAAATTAACTTTCCTTTATATTCCATTCCCCTTTTATTTTAAATATGAAAATGTGGCTGGAGTTGCGTCAATGTTTGTGATTGCTTCATCTCAGTTGGCAGGAAAGTCACTGGTGCCATTGATAAGCACCACGACAAGGACTCTGTGCAGAGCCAGGTGGAGGGGAGGAGCCAAGGGCGGAGGGGAGGAGCCAAGGGAGGAGGAGACGTTCGATAATATGGTATAGCTCAGGGCCTCCTGGGGGTTATCAGTTAGCCTTCACAATGGTTAATGAACAGACTGTTACTGTCTCTCTTCTTTATGAGGTTGATGAGTTTGTTTTAGTTTCAGGGGGATTGAACCTATGACCTCGTGCATGTTAGTTAAGAGCTCTACCACTGAGCTACACCCCTCACTGGCATCTCTCTTCTTTAGACAAGAGGACATAGATGCTGGAAACTGAGCGAGCTGCCTGAGACCGTTTCACACTGAAGTCTACCACTCTCCCTCCTACCCACATGCTCATTCGCCAGGTTTTTGTTTTCGTTGCAGAAGACATACCTCAAACTCAAAGTGTCAGAATGCAAAAAGGAATATCGATTTGTTTTCATGAATGGGAGTTCCAGAGTGGAAAGGGCTTCAGGGTCTCCAATCTGTCACTAGATCTTTCTCTTTCTTCTTTCAAATTCTGTGGTGTTTCCACTTCTTACCTGACTTTGTTCAGTGAGGACAAAAGTTCCAGTTATGTGGGTCTCCCTGGCCTTCAGCAAATTCATTTTCTTCCTCTTTTCCCCTTTTTTTCAGTCACTCAGAGGCCTGTGGACACCAGTGTCTATCCTTGGACTGACCACAGTGTCCAAAGGGAGGTGACACTGTGGGTGCCCAGCCTGAGTACCGTGCCCTCTGGTGGATGGATGCATCACTGCCTTCTGTTCAAGGATATCGGAAGCTGCTCCCGCAGGGAATGAGGACAGTAGGCCCCCACCTGGTATCTTGGATCACTTCTGGCTTCAGTCATAGTTGTTATTCTTTTCTAGTTTTCTATTTTGTAAGCCTATTTTAGAATCCATAGCTAAGAATTTATCTCATCTAGATTTGCAGATTAAACATCAGTTACTCCTGATACACTTCATTGGCATTTTAAGTTATTATATAATACCAGTGTTCTGTGTCTGTTATATATTTACTCTGTTTCCATCTTGCTAAAGTCTCTCTCTGTCTCTGTTTGTCTCTCTGTCTCTCTGTCTCTCTCTGTCTCTGTCTCTGTCTCTCTCTCTTTCTCTCTCTCTCTGCACATGCACAGGTCTGAGTATGCATTTGGAGGTCAGAGTAAAGCCTTGTTTTTTGTTCCTCAGGCTCCATCCATCTTATTTTCAAGACAGGGTCTCTCACTGGCCTGGAACTCTCTGAATAGAGACCCAGAATCATCCTGTCCGCCTCCTCAGCACTAGGATGACAAGCTTGTGCCACGATGCCCAGGGTTTTTTCTTCTCTTTTACATTTGTTTGAGGATCCAGCTCAGATCCTTGTTTTCAAGGCAAGCATTTTTATCAGCTGAGCTGTCTCCCCAGCCCTTTGGTAAGTTTTATTAGAGAGACTAATTGATCTTAGAAAGTGTCAACTTATAGTTTTATTATTTTCTTATAAAAATCTATAGTTCACTGATTTCTATTTATAGTGTCTTTTGAAAACCATCTTTGGACATTTTCTGGGTGTTAATTTTTTGCTCTTTCTCTATTTTCTTGAGGTAAGTGCTTATCTTCCTGCTTTGGCTAGTTTTGGCACCACTGTGACCAAACACATGACATAGGCAGCATAGAGGAGGAAGGATTTATCCTGGCTCATGGTTTAAGATGGGTTCAATCTATCACAACAGGAAGGTGTGGCAGAGCATCTCAGTTCACACCACCTCCAGAGGGTGTGATGGAGCACCTGAGTTCACACCACCATAGGAGGTCTGGCAGAACACCTCAGCTCTCATCACCACAAGGGGGTGTGGTAGAGCACCTCAGCTCACATCGCCTCAGGAGGGTGTGGTGGAGCACCTCGGCTCACATCACCGCAGGAGGAGTGGTGGGGCACCTCGGTTCACACCACCACAGGAGGAGTGGTGGGGCGCCTCGGTTCACACCACCACAGGAGGAGTGGTGGGGCGCCTCGGTTCACACCACCACAGGAGGAGTGGTGGAGCACCTTGGCTCACATCGCCTCAGGAGGGTGTGGTGGAGCACCTCGGCTCACATCACCGCAGGAGGAGTGGTGGGGCACCTCGGTTCACACCACCACAGGAGGAGTGGTGGGGCACCTTGGCTCACATCACTGCAGGAGGAGTGGTGGAGCACCTCGGCTCACATCACCGCAGGAGGAGTGGTGGGGCACCTCGGTTCACACCACCACAGGAGGAGTGGTGGGGCACCTTGGCTCACATCACTGCAGGAGGAGTGGTGGGGCACCTCGGTTCACATCACCACAGGAGGAGTGGTGGAGCACCTTGGCTCACGTCACCGCAGGAGGAGTGGTGGAGCACCTTGGCTCACATCACCACAGGCCACGGAGCAGAGGAAAGGAGAACGCTGCTGCTCTGATGGGTTTTTATTTTCTCCCTTTTCCTCACTCTGGGTTCCCATGGTGCCACTCACATCCAGGGTGGATCTCCCACTCAGTTAATCCCTCTAGAAACAATCTCACAGACACACCTAGAGGTGTGCCTAGATCTAGCAGATTCTAAATCTGGTCAAGTTTCAATGAAGGTTAGCCACCACAGGTCCACTCTTGGTCAACTACATCACTTAAGCCACAACATTCCTTATCTGGCCCCCAAAGGCTCAAGTCTGTTTCACAATACAAAATATTTTCAGTCCACCCTGAAGAGTTGCAATAGTTTTAACAGTTCTAACATAGCTCAAAGGTCCAAGCACAAAGTCTCTACTGAGACTCAGGGAACTCTCTTAGCTCCAGTAAAACCAAAAAGGAAGTTAAGTACTTCCAGAACATCACGACGTCGGGGAGATACTCTTACTGCAAAGGGGAAGAGCGGTAGAATAGCAAGGAAGGGTTGGACTGGGCAGGACTGAAACCCAGCAGGGCTACCATCAAATCCCTTGGCTCTGTGTTTGCCGTGTAGGGCACATGGTGCCATGACGTGAGCTCCGACAGGCTCAGCAGTCCTGCTGGCCTTCCCATTTGCAGCCCGCATAGCCTGTCTCATAGGCTGGTCTTACTGACTGCTTATGGATTTCTTCGGTAGACATTCCAGATTCCTCGCATCTCCAACATTCTGGGATGTCCCTGAAGCCTGACTTCACCCGCATAGCTTCACATATCTATTCTCAGATCTGGTCTCCTTAAAAAAATATGTATGGCAGACATTATCTGTGAATTGCCCAAACCTAAGTGGCACATTTACAATGCAACCTCTAGACCTCACGGGACATAGAACAAGGGGTAAAGGGAACACTAATGAATATCTCAATTCTCATTAATGAAGCTCCTTCATGCAACAGAGCCCCAGGAACACAAAAGGTCACAAATAGCTAAAGTGTAGAGGTTAAGAGTCTACAGAATGCTGGTCCTTGGACAGGACTCCTATATTAAATTTCGCCCGCTCAGGGTTCAGGGACCATTGTGGAAGAGGGGGCAGAAAGATTGTAAGAGCCAGGGAGGAGGCGCATGACCATATGGAGGTAGAGTCCTACAGGCTCCTGGGACCCTGCTTATATGAACCTGCAGCAATGGTGTCAGCTTGCACAAGACCCATGCAAACTCAAGTGTCACCCACCTAGAGGGAGGAAGAAAGCTCATAAGATGCAGGAAATAAAACACATAGGACCTAGGAAGTAGATGAAACTTGCTCCAGAAGCTTGTGAAAGTTACTGATTCACAAGGCCCCTCCCCAAGGTTGTATACACGGTGACGCTCCGACAGGCTGAGCAGCCTGCAAGGCATGCAGAGAGCTCTAGGGATTTAGTTTTCCTGGGTTGCCACCCATGCTGGCCTGGGCTTTGCAGCTGTCCTTTGATTCATGCTCCTGTAAGTAATTCCTCACCCACACGCCTGTAAGTCACCCCAATAAACTCACTGGTTCACTGAGTTGGACTCAGGTGTGATCTTTGGTCTCTCATGGTGCCCTTCATGTGTCCCCAGGAAAGTCACACAACAGAGTGCTCTTCAGAGTCTCATTTCCGGGTGAACAGGGTCCAGGCCTCGCCTGGCATGGGAAAGACCACACCAAGCCAAAGACTGTAGTGTCAGAGTTTGCAGAGAAGGGATCTGGCTGGCCTTTGCCAGCAGTAGCTGGCTGCTTGCTCAGGGAGTCATGAGCTGTACTGGCAGATACAGATGCCAACCAGTGCTGTCATCAGTGTGAGGGTAGCAGGAGCAGGCTGGGTATTCTCTAGAGGGCTTTCAGTGCTCTCTAAATCCTGGGCTGCGAAGACTGGACCTGGGTGGGATGTCACTGGCACAAGACCTGCCTTTCGGGGTCATGAGGCCACCTACATCCTTTCCTGTTGGTCACTGCCACGGGCGCCACCTGTCCTTACCCTTGGGCTTAGGCTTTGGGCAGATCTTGAACCAAACCTTCTCCTCCCCTAGCCTCCATCTTCCTGGAGAACCCATTGATTTCACCTTAGTTCCAACACCTTTCCTAATGAAAAGTCTACCTCAGCCGGTTGCCTCTTTGGTTTTCCTGCTTCCTTCCTGCCTTGTGTTCCAGCTCGACTGCCCTCCCAGCAACACGTAACACACTGAGTTGAGTGTGGTGCTTGGCACCTCTCACCGGGTGCCAGCTCTGGTATTGGGTGTATATCGATTGACCTATTTTATCCTTACAAGAACCCTATGGTGTAGATGTGGATGTAGATGTGGTCATCCCAGGAAATGTAACAGTCAAGAGCAACAGCTTGGGGTTCAGATCCAGATCTCGCACTTTGCTGTGTAACCTGGGGT